TAAGAGAAAAGACACAAAAAAATGCATACCACATGAATGAACCACTCCTTGTACAGTGTATTCTTCCTTCAGACACACATGCTTCAATTGTCTTCCTAAATACACCCACTCTGCCACAACAACAACAAAAAGAAAAAAAAAAGAAGCAGCACACTCAAGCATAGAATGAAAATCTTTTAGCAAGCACTTGTTGACCCTTTTTTTTATATACTGGAACAGCAATTGTAAAAGCAAATAAAAATGCGGTGTCACTCAATATTTACACTTCCCAGTTGGATGGGTTCACAAAGCATTTCATTCTCCTGGGAAAAGAGTTGCCTCTTCGAATTTTTAACGACCTTCAAAGTGCGCATTTGCATGAGATTTGAGAAGGATGGTCATTGAAAGGCGGCTGAGATGAGAGAAGCTAGTTTACACAGACCCCTTGAAAAGGTTTTTTATTGGATGTGGGAAACCTTGAACTTGCAGGATTTTTTTTTCTTCTTCTCCAACCTGAAGCAAAACCAGGTTTCAAAAGAATTCTTGTGAATGAGGGATGATAAAAAAATAAAATAAACTGCTCATCAATTCACTGGTCAGAGGCTAATGGATTCTTGGTGTAAATTACAGTGATAGAACCCATAACTATTTTTACAACAGAGACCAGTCTCAAAGTCTGCGTGATTACCGAAAAGAAACCTAACTTTGACCCGTAAGATTTTTGATAGAACGGTTCTTTAAGAGGACCTCAATTATTTAACTAACTATATATACAGCGCAATTCGTATTAGGTATATTTTTAGCAAAGTCAGTTAGAGAACCCGAATTATTGTCCTTGGAAACGAATTTACTTTCTGTGAGAACCTTGGAAGACCTTGGTTCTCACGTTGCTTACGGAAGCCTCCAAGGCTACATTTCATTGCAAATCCTGTTGCTAATTCTTGTCCTTGAAGGACTGTTTTCCTGTTTCCCAAAACCACAAGATTGAGTACAGTTCAACTCAAGCATTCATGTGTGCTGTTTCTCCAAGATTTTGTGAGTTTTGCAGTGACAATCAACCTATCCTATGAATTATATCAACTTCAGAATAGGGTAATTTCACCCCAGTTGCAGCCTGACCAAATCATTGTGTTTCATTTCTAAAATCAGCTCTTTTCTGGTCACTCTAAATTTCCTCTAAGTAAAATCTTCATTTGTTGGGATTTATTCCTGACAATATATATATATAAATTTTGAAAAAGGAAATAGTGCTTGTTTTTGGCTGCCTGAAAATCATTTGTAGCAAGATTGTATCTGTACCCTAAATAATAAAAAAAAACAGGAAAAGGAATAAAATCCCGATTTCTATACAATTTATTCATAACCTTTTATCATAGTCTTCTGATCCACTCCAAATAACAAAATTACCTTTTTTTTTTTTACAGAAAAACAGCTTGGCAACATTTTAAAGTCAAAAATAACTTCTTAATAAAATAAAATATTACCAAGGCTTGCTCAACAATATTTATTAGTCGCTGTGGGTATTTTTCACGACCACCGAATTACTGCACATGTATCTTAATTTATTTGCCCAATCATCCATTAATCAGACAGCCATTTGACACAATTCAGTGCACTTGAAGACAGAAAATTTCGAAATAGCCAATCAATGTTTCGGTCAGTCCATAATGAGACATTAATCCGATGAAATTTACTGGCCTTCGTTAAAGTCAATAATGCGTGTTCAGGCGGGTCACGTTTGAATCATGAATGAATCATGCAAACACTAAAACCCGGCCTAATTAAATGATTTACAATAAGCAGAAATTTCATGTCAGAGACACTGAAACAATGTGGATTAATAATTTTCGGTTGAAATTTAATTTTTTAATGTAGGACTTCGTCACGAGTTCGAGTTAATTTACTCTTTCTCTTAATTTTCAAAATTGCGGCAAATGTTATTTGAACTTGAAAGATTCTGCAGTTTGTCAAAGAATTACGATAAGCAGACACTTGATGTTTGGTATACTAAAATAAAGTGGAATAATATAACTTGTGTTGAAATATAATAGAAAAGGTAGGACATTATCACGAGCTCGAATTATTTCACCTTTTTCTTGATTTTTCAAAATTGCGGTCCTTGTTTAAATTAGGAAGATTCTGTGGTTTTTCACAAAAAAGTTATTCCAATTAATCATGGTATGAAGACATTTGATGCCCGAGACATTGAAATAATGTGGATTAATAATTTTATGTTTAAACAATTCAAAAATTTACGACATTGTCATAAGCTCAGTTTAATTAATCTTGTTCTTAATTTTTTAAAATTGCGGTCCTTGTTTAAACTAGGAAGATTCTGTGGTTTTTCACAAAAATTTTATTTGAAAGAATCACATTATATGCATACATTTGATGTCCAACACACTGAAATAATGTTTAAATACAGTACAGTTTAAATAATTCAAAAAGTTAGGAAATTGTCACAAACTTGAGTTAATTAAGCTTTTCCTCAATTTTTTTTAATTGCGGTCCTTCTTTAAACTAGAAAGATTCTGTAGTTTGTCATAAAGAATGTACAATATTTGAAAGAATTACGATATGAAGGCATTTTTACAAACTCTCTGATTTTATTACACCTCATTATTAAAGTACAAGTTTATTAAGTTTTTAAATCCGTTAACAACGTTTGAACTCAACTAATTGGAGGAGTTTAAAATAAAAGTTTAACGCCAGGAGGATTAAACCAAGAAGATTCTGTGGTTTCTTACAAAAAACCTTTTGGAAGAAAGTAGTTGTTGGGGAATAACTTACCACAACATAAATTTGAGAAATTTACTCATGGATCAAAAATGAGGAATAAAGCAACGTTCCAAAAATTAGCAATAAAAAGCAGAATCAGCCTGGGACAAGGCCAGGAATCTTTTTAGGATTCCCTAATTAGAAACTGTTTGAAATGCATTTTGCTTTTTGTCCCAAAAACATGAGTTTGAACAAAAGATTTAAACAACACTTTTTAACAACTCAGCATCAGATCCCTTCAAAATTCGGAATTTTGTACACACTTTTTCACCACAAAAGTTCAATCACAAGTGTGGCTTTGTTGGCTTTGTTCTTCGGTGGATGAGGCAAAAACGGAAATCAAATCTGGTTTTCATTGTTTTTTAGGTGGTGCTGTTTCCCTTGAAAAGTGGTTGTCCTTCGAGGAATGGTTTTATTGTAGTTACTTGTTTTTTATACCTTTTATTAACTTAGCATTATTTGGCGCAGTAATAAATTACACCTATTTATTGAATTAGAGGGATTTAGATTTAAATTCTCATTCACCATATTTACTCAAGTACCACATGCACCTTTTTTCTCAAATTTCAGAAGAAAAAAAGGGGGTGCGTGTCATAAGTGGATACAAATTTTTCAAGAAGTTTTAGGAAATTATGTGTGCATTATACTAAATTAAAATGGACAAATTTTGAACAAATGTAACAAGAATACTTTATGTACTGAAAAATTTGAAAATTGATCCAATTTTTGTTCAATTCATGCCTAAAGTCAAATTTTTGGAATTTATTTTCCAAATTTTGTGGTTTTAGATTCACTAAAAATTGGGGTGCGTGTCTTACTTGGGTAAAAGATTTTAGCCAAATTTCCAACTGAAAAACCCCTGTGCCTGCCTTACTCAAGGGCAGGTGGTACTCCAGTAAATACATCAATTTATAGATGAAACAATGGGTGGATTTTAAAATGTGAACATGATCTGGGGTTCGGCGACCTTCATTCAAAATATTCATGAGTTTAAAAAAAAAAAAAATCGTGTACTTTGGGTGTTGAAGAGATACAAATTTTGCGTTTTCTTAAAACAAAATGAATCATGATGGAATGAAACAAAAATTCGAGACTTCAAATACTCGGCGATGATTCGTGGAAAAAAATAAATAAAGGCTGAAGGTCAAACACGACAGAAATTTTTGCGAGCGTGACTTTTAATGAATCTTCCTCAACAGACCGTGTGACGAATGACACAACCCCGAATCGCATCACGAACTCGAATCCCATTCACCTTCATATAACTTGAATCCTTTTTCCCATTTTTGTCAACACAAAAATCACCGACATTTCTACCATTTTTTTCCCTCTCTAGCCTGTGCCAATAATACAGGGTGATTCAAGCGCCAAAATACACAAAAAAATGCGAATTTTTCCTCGGGAGGGATGAAAAATTTCGTGGATTCACAAAGTTGAGGCAGAAAGAGTTAGATTTTACAATTCTAAAGACAGAAAAATAAGCGGGAAATCAGTGAAATTACTTCCAATTAATATTTATTTGACACCTGTTTCGTTGACTGATTGTCCCAATATTGAAATGAACCAAATTTCGCGTGAAAAATCTCTAAAAATTGACTGTCTTTCTTTTTTTTCGGATTTTGATTTTAATAAATTTCAAATGAGATCTGGGAGACAGTGTTTTTTTCTATTTAATATCTGACAAAAATGTGGTGTTTCTTTTGCGTAAGAAGTTCCGTTTTCCGAAATTTTTGCGAAAAAAAAATTGTCAAGCCCATAATTTCGAAGCTGATTTTTATATTTCTTTGAGATTCAAGTGTGAGTTGAGATATTTTTCGAAAAACCGGGAAAGGTGAAGGAAAACCATTTTTCTTTTCAGGAAAAATTTCTGAGTGATTCATTTCCCTAATAAAAGAACAAGAAAAATTTTTGAAAATACATTTCAGTAGTTGTGAATTCATCACCCCGAATTTTTTCAGGCAACTGTGAATAAAATTAAAAAAGAGAATATTTGTAAGCATAAAAAAACCTACAGTTATATTTATAATCTCATTTTCCTATTTTATCACATTTTTATAAAAATATCAAAATAGAAGACTAATAATTATAACCAGTGTTGGTGAAACTATTAATATAGTAATTTGAAAAAGAAACTCATCATTGCTTGAATATTATTGAAAGTTGCTTGGAAAATTTTGCATTTTCTAGTCCATACTAACTCTTGAATTACCCTGTATATGCATATTTTTCCCCGTGCAAAATATTCACAGGTAGCAGTTGAGCAAATTTTCCCACTTTTCTTGCCTTCCACTTGCTGTGTTTGTTGGCACTCCATTTTCTTGGATGAATGCTTCGCATTCTTCAAGTGTGCATTTTCCAGTTGCAATTTTTTCACCCAGGCTCTGATTGAAACTGGAGTACCTTTCCTGAAACACAAATGTTTGTTTCGTTTTCAAAAAATTAAAAACCTTTCATTCCCAAAAATGGTTTCACAAAAGACCCACTTTCTTGTAATTGAGGCGTTCAATTTCCGCGAATTCGGTTGGATTGAAAAAAATTCACCTAAAAAATGCCNCACACTTGTACCCCCAGAATATCCCATATGCTCCAGTTGTGACCCTGGTGTGCACCTACTGTGGGGTCACAGCAAAAATAGCTCCCCACTTGGGAGCTGTAATCAGTTTCATTGCAAATTTTCAGGGCAGCAAAAATTCTCCAAGCATCACAGCAGATATCTCTGTAGTGTCAAAATGTGTAAAGCCTCTTTGTTTCTCACCCAAAAATGTTGCCGAAGAAGTGAAGTTAAAAGCACTTCATAACTTTTGCCAAGCACAGCTATGTTTCTAAGACTGTCAATAAAAACACATGGTAGACCTAGCCAGAAGCCAAAATGTTGTTCTAGTTACTTTTCTAAGCCACATGCTAACCACTTGAAATTTAAAATTTTACATTCTTTATATTAATTATTAGTGATTGCTATTTTAGAAAGGGTAGAACCCCTGTTTCCCCTCACTCACATAAGAGCACACTTTGTGCACCCTCTAAGATCAATGACAAGATCAACTGTCTTCCATTAACCACTCATTTTCCCTTTTCTAGAAGAGAGAATATTTTTCCCTATAGAAAGGAAAAATGCAAAGGGGATCATTTGTTGGAAAAAACTTTGGTATGCCAACAAGTTGGCGCCAGATCAAGTTAAATTGCCCTTCTGTTTTGTAAAATCTTGCGAATATTTAGCAGCTTCTGCTGGAGCCTGAGAACCAAACCTGAGTTTGGTTCCCAGGCCAAGCAAGGACATTTCTGAATAGATTTCTAATCCGTGTCCTTCAACTCTTCCTTTACTGATTTCCAAATTTTGGATGATGTGACACTCGCATTTGAATTGCTGACCCAAGCAGATCTCTGTGCAGAGAAGCTTTGTATGCGCCATTCCAAAAATCTTAACCAGTGTCTACCTACAAAAAATACAACTCTTTAAAACTAGGACTGTTTGTCCCAGCCGCAGCCTGGCTGACTGATCAAGTTTTAATCGTCTAATTGGTTGATTTCTTCATTCAGAAGGTTCACATATTTATATCACACTTTGTTTCAAATCTTTCTCTTCTGATCAGGTTTTCCATATCTATAAATTTTTAGTTTAATCAACTTTGTGAGAGACTTTTATCACATTCAATATCTTTTTCTCACATCATTATTCTCTCCAAGAAATGACATGTGCACAGGGTAAAATATATGAAAAAAGAGTAATCTACAATATTTCATTCACCCTTCCTCTGTAAAGTACCTGACCCAGTTTTCACTTTTCCCTTGATTTACACCCCCATTCACAGGAATTTTTGAAAAACAGTATGTTTGTGCAAAAGAGGAGAGAAAACGCACTTGGAACTCAGGACAATGTCATGCTCATAGCCATGTCCTGCCAAAGTGGTGTGATTTGGCTCAATGTTCAACTTGAAATCCTTCTCCAGTCCATAAGTGTGCAGAAATGCAATGACTGTTAATGCGTCGTAATCGTATTGATGCTTTGTTGGTTCTTTTGGCTTTGGTTCAATCAGTAATTGACCACTGAAGCCTATCTTCTTCTTGTATTCTGAAAAAAAATCAGTCAACAGAATCACCATCCATTATTGGGAAATCGCAATTAATGATTTGGCAAATGTTCATGTGAATTTTTTATTTTACATGAAGTGTGAAAACTGCACCTCAATATTTAAATTTGATTACACAAAAAAAAAACTTGGGAAATTCCAGCATTGAGTTATGCGAAAATTTTCATGCAAGCAAAAAAAATCTTTGCAAAGTTCAAAAAAGTCTATAAAAATGGCAGTAATTTTTCTTTTAAAGTCTGTTCACCTTCAATTAATGAACCTTTTTGTGCAATTTTACCAAGAATCAAGAACTTTCAGATGATGATATAAAACAAAGAGAAATAAAAATTAAATTTTTCTTAGCTGTAGATTTTGTGCCATATTTTGTACAGAAATTTCAAAAATGTTCATTTTTTGCTGTCTTTAATTTAATCATTTTGATCTGATTATGCGTAAGAGGGTATTTTGGCAGAAAAACTGCGCGCAGCCTTTTGATATTTTAATAATGATTTTGTATTTTTTTCAATTCTGTTTCCTTGTGCAGAATTTTTGTGACGAACATTTTGAGCTTAAAATTGAGATTTTGATTTACAGTAACGACTTTTATTGACACTAATTTTTTAGAAGTGACAGATATTTCAGTGCTATGAAAAAATGGATTTCTTCAGAATAGTTGAAGAGGTTCATATACAATACTGTAATTTAAATGGGCAGCAGTCTTTTCTTTCTTTTTCAACATTTTTGCCAAAACTAACCAACTGCCATTTGAAGAAAAGCAGCATAATGATCCAGCTCTTTCTTCAAATCAGTGTTGAGCAAGGAAAAATATCCTTCTCTTCCTCCCCAGAAGACAAAGTTTTCTGCACCCAGCTTTTTGGCAATTTCCAATCCCTTCTTCACTTGGGCACCGGCTTGTGCAAAAACGTGAACGTCTGGACTTGTGGCCGCTCCATTCATGTATCTGAAATGGCAATGAGAGATTTTTATTCAAGTTTAAATGCTTTAGAATTTTAAATAATTATTTTTAAACAGCAAAAAGATTCATGACAACCAAGAACATTTTGTGCTCTTCCAAAATAATTAATTTTTTCACGTTCACGATTTGCAGGAGTGATTCATGCCCTTTTCTTAACTTTTTGTGCATTTAATTCTCAAATTTGAGCAGTAAAAAAAACTTTGGTAGGATAAATTCTACCATCTATATTTAAACTATTTCTATTTAAAAAATGATGATCCAAACCTTCAACTCAGCACGTTCATGCAGTTAGTGATTTAAATCCTGACACAAGATCAGTAAGTTAAAAATGTCCCTCCTTTTTTTCAAATTGTTGACCTCGCTTTTATCATTTTTTCAAATTTTTCCAAGCAAATAAAGAATCCCTTTTACCAACTTTTCTGATACATGTATTTTAAGGGTAAATAAATCGAATTTATTTTTAAAAAAAATTGGTGCAAATAATAGTATCCTTCTAAACGTTTTTGAAAAATTATTTTCAAGTGAAAAAGGATATTACTCTAAAGAAATATCGAATAAAATTCAATTGTCAATTTTCAAATAGTCTTTCAAGTCTTGAAAACCGGTCGACTTTTTTTTTCGAATCATGCAGCAAAAAAAATGATCAAATCCAAGATATCACATTTCTAGAAGGCAAAAGATGCCTGCCTTGGATGAGAGAACAGGTTACAAGTCGCCCAAAGCAACTTGACCCCGGTTTTCCCCTGAAGTTCCAAAGCGAGGTCAGTGACAGTGTCCAAATTCGCGTTTGTTTCCTCGAGCGTTTTTCCTTCGGGCGCAATGTCACGGTCATGGAACGCGTAGTACTTCACTCCTAAAAGTCAAATAAAATCGAAAATTGTAAATAAAAAAAAAAACATTGCACATATAAATTCTCTATCTATTNAACAGGTTACAAGTCGCCCAAAGCAACTTGACCCCGGTTTTCCCCTGAAGTTCCAAAGCGAGGTCAGTGACAGTGTCCAAATTCGCGTTTGTTTCCTCGAGCGTTTTTCCTTCGGGCGCAATGTCACGGTCATGGAACGCGTAGTACTTCACTCCTAAAAGTCAAATAAAATCGAAAATTGTAAATAAAAAAAAAAACATTGCACATATAAATTCTCTATCTATATGAGGGAATGGTTGACACAAGTTTTACCGAGCTTCTGGAAAAACTGGAAAGCCACGTTCAAGCGACGCTTTGCATTGTCCAGACTTTCCGTTCCGTCGTCCCATGGTCTTGAAATTGTTCCTGGACCAAATGGATCACTTCCTGAAATATTAAAAAAAAATTTGAAAAGAGCAGATTAAATATGCCGCATTTTCCCCCCATTTTAAGGAAGGTTCTTTGAAAAATTTCCGCAAGTTTGGCGTCATCATTACCTTGAAGACTGAATTTGGAGCAAATTTTTTTTTAAAGCCCTGACAATCGTTGTAGAGAGAGAGAGAGTCCAAACTGTATGAGAAATAAATTTCAGTAACAAAAAGCTCACCGACTCCTCGAAAAGTGTGCCAATAGACAACAGAAAATCGAAGCCATTCTTCCATAGATTTGCCAAGTACAATCTTGGAAGCATCGTAATGCCGAAAACACAAGGCGTCTTCCAAATTCGCTTCCGGTTTGTATTCAATTTTCGGAATATCTGCACACACACACAAACAGACTCGTATCATTATTCGTGAATAATTTAAATCCAGTCACAAGACGCTGACCTTGGAAAAAATCCTCCATGGCTTCCCCTTTTTAATCAAGCCCTGATGGCAAGAAAATTGGCATGAAACAAAATCATTAATGACAGTAAAAAAAGAGAGATAAAATGAGTCACACAAAAATCTATTTCTCTTTAAATCATTTGCATTTCCTCGTTCTCCCGTCATGATGTGAAAAAAACAAAGAACAGAGCTGGGATATTCATGAAATTCACCAAATAAAAAAAGAGGGTTTTTCGCCTTTTTTTCTCTCTCAGCAAAAAACAATATAACATCCCCTTCTCTCAAAAAAATGGCACTCGGAACTCCGGCAGAAAAAAAATAAAATAAAAATTCAATCGGTACCGAGAAAAAACGTCAAACGCTTTTTTTGTTTTGTTTTTGAAGATACCTCAGGAAGAAATCCCGTTCAAACCCCAACTGATAAAAAAAAGGCACTTTACTTTCGCAAAGTCCGGGGAACGGGTTCTTCCTTGAATAATAATAAACCCAGGCTTTTTTTTTCATGAAAAACCATAACAAAAAAAAACCTTCTTCTTTGCTTTTTTTCTTCTTTTGTTTTCCTCTCAATTTCGCCGAGAAGAGAGAAAAATCCCGTCCAGAAAGAAAGCTAAAAAAATATATAACCTGCTCAAAAAAGTGAACCGAAAATTAAGGCGAAAGATTTTTTCCCCTTCCTTCCGATCTCTGTTTTCTTTTTGTTTTTTTCTTTTTGAATTGCTCGAAACAGAAAGAAAAGCCACGAAAAAAAAAAACAATTTTCTCCACCGAAGAAGGAACAATTTTCTGAACAACGGATCTATTTACAACTCGCCAATCCTTGAAATTTTCCCCCTCCAAAAAAAAAAACAATCAAACAAAACCCAGCAATTATTGGCACATTGTCGTGTCTCGCTGAGGAGAATAGTCAAAAAACCGCGGCTACTCAACACAAGAAACACAAAAAAAAAATCTGCTATTTACAATTTTCCTCCTCTTCCGCAGAAAAACAACATTTGAGAGAGAGAGAGGAATCAGTGATGGACGAAAGAAAAAAAAACATTTGAGAAGAGTGTAAAAAAGAAAAAACGAACAGATGTTTGAGAAGACGCGAGAAGTAAAAAGAATCTTGGCAAAAAATATTTGGAGACAGTTTCGGAGCTTCTTTCCTTTCCTTTCCTTCTTTTCTTCATTCCTTTTTTTATTTGAGAGACAGAGAGACAAGAACGGCGTGTGTTTTTCGCTTCCTCGGTTTTTTTTCTTTACTGGATTCGCTGTTTCAAAGCCAGGTGTCGCCCTTGTTGGTCAAAAGGTCGTTGAACAGCTCCGATGTCAACTCTCCTTCTGCCAGCTGAAAACAAAACAGAAAAAAATGCACAAAAAAATGAGACTTCTTTCATATGCACGCAATACAATTTCACTTGATGTCTGGAAGGTCCTGTAATAATTCTAGCTCATTTAATTAATTCGACGTCACTTTTTTTTCAAAATTTAAAATTTAGGAACCCTGACGTATTTTGACGTCCAAAAGGTCCTTTAATCTAAAGCGGGTGGTAAACTTTCAAGTTGCGCGATTTAAACCGATTTTTTTTTTTCGGGTGGGAAAACTCGCCGCAAAATTCTGCATCATATTTTCAAAAATGAGGATTTTTTATGTTTGGAAAAAAAAAGAAAACTCACGTGAATGCTAGGCACAATATCGTCCATGTTGGAGTCAGTGGAGTCCGCAGTAACACCAACCATGCTATTCAGATCCGCGGTTCCAATATCCATGTCGTTCGCGTTCAGCGTTGAGCTCGAAGGTTGCCCAGAATCTGCAAAAAAAAATTGGCAAACAAGTTTAAAAAAAAAAGCACGAATTCACAAAATCAAGTCAATACAAAACTACAATCATATTCAAAACCATCGGCGTGATGATCATTAACAAAATGGCCTTGAGAAACACAAAAAAATTTTCTCAAACAAAATCAGACATCACTGCAAAAAAAAATGTTGCACTTTATTTTTATAATCAATTAATTTTTTAATAAGTGTTGTCTTATGTTGGTGAGCAAATACAGGTTGCATATTGTAGTCAATCTTGTGACTATACATAATGTAAGTGAATTATCGTTTTTTGATGNCGCTGTTTCAAAGCCAGGTGTCGCCCTTGTTGGTCAAAAGGTCGTTGAACAGCTCCGATGTCAACTCTCCTTCTGCCAGCTGAAAACAAAACAGAAAAAAATGCACAAAAAAATGAGACTTCTTTCAAATGCACGCAATACAATTTCACTTGATGTCTGGAAGGTCCTGTAATAATTCTAGTCTTTTCAATTTATTCGACGTCACTTTTTTTTCAAAATTTAAAATTTAGGAACCCTGACGTATTTTTACGTCCAAAAGGTCCCTTAATCTAAAGCGGGTGGTAAACTTTCAAGTTGCGCGATTTAAACCGATTTTTTTTTTCGGGTGGGAAAACTCGCCGCAAAATTCTGCATCATATTTTCAAAAATGAGGATTTTTTTATGTTTGTTTTTTTTCTTTTGAGTGCACTTACGATCCGTGTTATAGCAGGTACAACCTCAGTCACCTCAGGCGTCATTGTGGTTGGTACGATAAGTCTAGGCGCCAAGGTTATAGGTACAGCAAGCGCAAGTCGGTTGAGCTCGAAGGTTGCCCAGAATCTGCACAAAAAAATTGCAAAAAAAGTTTTTAAAAAAAAGCACGAATTCACAAAATCAAGTCAATACAAAACTACAATCATATTCAAAACCATCGGCGTGATGATCATTAACAAAATGGCCTTGAGAAACACAAAAAAATTTTCTCAAACAAAATCAGACATCACTGCAAAAAAAAATGTTGCACTTTATTTTTATAATCAATTAATTTTTTAATAGGTGTTGCCTTATGTTGGTGAGCAAATACAGGTTGCATATTGTAGTCAATCTTGTGACTATACATAATGTAAGTGAATTATCGTTTTTTGATGAAAAACAAACAAAATCTTACAAAAAAGTATTCTTCTGCTCACCAAAAAAGACAAACCTAAAATCAAGTTGCAATTTCAGTTTTCGAGTGAATTCTACTCCTGCAAAAAGTTGACAGAATAGACTTAAAATCATAAAAAAAAATAAAATAAAAATCAAAGTTGTAGTCAAGCTGCAGAAATTTCTTCATCTCAAGAAATTTTAAAACGCCACTTGCAATTATTTAAAAATAATTTGAAAATCAAAACTGATGGATTCAAAAAAGTCAAGAAGTAAGTGAACACAATTTCTTCACACAGTCCATTCAACTCGATCGAATTCTGGAACATGATGGTTCTTGGTTCATGAAAAGATGATCTCTTCACGGTGAAAAATAAAATAAAATTCTCACTAATACAAAAAAAAAGATAAATTGACACATCCTCAACTGTACCAACTCCTCAGGAATAAGAAAAAAAACCCGCACATAACGATGAATTACGGACGAGGAATACATGAACTTATAATTCAAACATCAATCTTTCGTCATTTCCGCCGATTTTCTGAATGCGGAAGTGAATCATTTATCCGGTTTTCACAGTTATTCTCATTAAAATTTATTGCTGCAAGTACCGGGAATCGGAAAATCGATTCAGCCGAGAAACTGGATCTCGATCGTGTTCAAATCAATTTTTACGATTCATTTTTTTTCACCTGCATCAAATGTAGAGAATTATTTTCACAATATATATTCAACTCAAGTAAATCATCACATGAAAGCAGGAAATAATATTTGTTTCTGCCGAATATCTTCTCTTGGAATAATGGAAAGATGTCACCAAGAGTCGGAATAAAAATTGTTTAATGATCCACTCGACACATCTGGTTCAATTTCAACAAATATCCGCCATCAAAATATTAAAAATCTTCAAATTGAAACACGATTTCATCACAAGAAAAATAAACTATCAGAGTTATTTGTAAAAGCGTGAACATATGAATCGTCAGAAATTTTTCCAACGGCGTAAATCACAGAAAATTAAATTCAAAAACTTTTCTAGTTTTTTCTTTTCTTCACATTCACGATGGATTTAATTTTGAGGATGAGGATGGAAAATATTAGAATGGCCTTCTTTCTTCGAATCGTAGTCAATTTATTTCGGATTTCGTTGCAATTATTTTTTTTATTGCGTTTGATCAGAGCGATTCTCGAGGTTAAAATTTTTCTAGTCGAAGCCCATCATTCAATAACGGAAGTTTCTTTTTTTTCCAAAGCAATTTTCTTCCATTGAAAATCGAGACGTAATTTTCTCTTGTGGTTGGAAATTAGGAGGAAAAATCGGTCAAAATAGGGTTATTTTTTTTCAAACCCTATATATAGAATCAGACGAGAGATTAAATTATTGGTTTTCAATTCCCGGGATCTGAAATATGAAAAAAAAATGAATGAAAAGAAGAGAACTCAACTTATGGACACGAGGATCGAGTTCAGGTATAGAAGTACTTGACCTCGATTATTAATAAACCCATTCGAAATTTTTTTTAACATTTTTTAAAAATTTTTGAATGAAACGAACCCCTTGCTTGATTAGCCAGGTTTATTTTCCAATTCTCCCCAGGAATTTATTTTGAAAATGATATTTGTTCATCATTTTTTTGTGTGAAAATATTTAATTTTATCCTGAAATTAATTCATAAATTCATTCTGACAGTTTTTTTTTTAATCTTTACGAAAGGAAAATCTTGAAACTAGGTCTGATAAATTAGTCAGGTCAACTAATTTTATCCTCCCGGGAAAAAATAGTCGGCTAAAAACCAGAATAAAAAATAACTTCTTTCGCATGATTCATCATTTTCAGTCTTTAAAACGAGAGAAAATAATTTCCTGCGATATTTTATCTTTCACAGGACTGTCTCAGTTATTCTCTCTTTTTTTGTTGAATTTTAATTCTCAATTCGGGGACTGCACTTGACCTTGTCTGAGTGCCAGTTATATATGATTTGAATTCGGCGCCGTAAAATCGAATCAAATTGAGTCAATTAAATAAATTGAATTAAACATTACTTCATGGTCAATTTTCGAGCCCACAAATCCGAGTGCTCCTCGTGCTTAAGGGGATTTGAGTCCCTCCAAACTATGGGATTCAATTCCAAAACGTTCGATTTCTTTTTTATTTATTTATGATTAAATAGCTGATCGAGTCTCTGAATTCCTTTATTATTATTTTTTCTCTCAGTATAATACCAGGTTTTTTTTTTAAAGCGTGCCTAATTTAACACATACATTCGGATAACCCGTCAATTTGCAAATTAGGAAATTATTCAGAAATCAAATTGATGGAAATCCAAACAGATTTCGAATACTTCCAGTAATTTAAATTAGTTCCAAGAAAGTCGGTTACCTTTTTCATTCGGTTTTTGAGATGAACATATTTTTTCGGGTTAAAAAAAAGGGGGTTGGATGACGAATTTTTCATATTTCATAGAAAATTTCCGCTGAATCAAGAAATAAAATTCCGTCCGGAAATTCGTTCATCGCCTCATTTTTAAAATTTTATTTTAACCTATTTAAACTTCCGGAAAACGAAATTTGAAAAGAACGTTGCATATTTTCTTCAGGCTTCTCAGCTTTTGCTATGGATTAAACACAATACCCTTTTCAAAATTTTGTATTCCTCATATTTTCATTTCGATAAGCGACAATTTCCGGTTCAAGACGTCGTTCGATTCCAATTTTTCGCGCAGTGACTATATTTCAGTTCCGAATATAATAAAAAAATGCAGTCCTTCTCGAAAAATAAAAAGTTCGAAAAATTCTTTCGGAAAAAAANTTAATTCTCAATTCGGGGACTGCACTTGACCTTGTCTGAGTGCCAGTTATATATGATTTGAATTCGGCGCCGTAAAATCGAATCAAATTGAGTCAATTAAATAAATTGAATTAAACATTACTTCATGCTCAATTTTCGAGCCCACAAATCCGAGTGCCCCTCGTGATTAAGGGAATTTGAGTCTTACCGAACCATGGGATTCAATTCCAAAACGTTGGATTTCTTTTTTTTTTTAATTTATGATTAAATAGCTGATCGAGTCTCTGAATTCCTTTAATATTTTTTCTCTCTCGGTATAATATCGGGGTTTAAAAAAAAAGCGTGACTAATTCAACACCTAAATTCGGATAACCCCGTCAATTTACAAATTAAGAAATTATTCAGAAATCAAATTGATGGAAATCCAAACAGATTTCGAATACTTCCAGGAATTTAAATTAGTTCCAAGAGAGTCGGTTACCTTTTTCATTCCGTTTTTGAGATGAATGTTTTTTTTTTCGGGATCAAAAAAAGGGGTTGGATGACGAATTTTTCATCTTTCATAGAAAATTTCCGCTGAATCAAGAAATAAAAGTCCGTCTGGAAATTCATTCATCGCCTCATTTTTAAAATTTTATTTTAACCTATTTAAACTTCCGGAAAATGAAATTTAAATTTTCTTGCAACGTATAAAAGAAGTCCGAAGAGTCGAAAACGATACCTAATTTGTGTTATGGGAAAAGTTTTAAAACATAAGGAGTATAAAAGTAAAGCTATTCGCTGTTAAAGGCCAAGTTCTGCACGTTCGATTCCAATTTTTCGCGCAGTGACTATATTTCAGTTCCGAATATAATAAAAAAATGCAGTCCTTCTCGAAAAATAAAAAGTTCGAAAAATTCTTTCGGAAAAAAAAGAAGAAGAAACAATTTAAAAGGAAAAAAGGAGCAAAGAAAACTCTGTTTCCGAAGGACGACCCGCGAGTAAATTTGCAAGACAGTTATGAAACGCACCGCCGACAAAGACAGGGAGACTTTTGTGGCGGTGAGGAAGCTGTGGGACAGTCGTTTTGCAAAAGGGTAGGAAAGCTAAAAAATATGGCCCACGCGTGCTTCTTTTACCACATTATACAGAGTGTGAAGCATTGACAAACAAAAAACTCTTCTCGCAAAAAAATTACGTAGTAGGAATTTTTGTCTTTGCAAAAATGAATCGTTGAAAAATTAAGGGAATGCTTTAAGAATTATAAAACATAACAAACAAGTGAACTTACATTATACCGGGTGAGCTCAAAGAAAAAGTACAGTATATACACAGTTTCAAGCCTGAACAATAAATCTTCTCGCAAAAATACATTCTTCGAAAATATATCTCAAGTTAAAAGGAAATGGAATACTTTCAAACACGCAAAAAAAAATGGTGAACTTACATTATACCGGGTGAGTCCAAAGAAAATTAACAGTAAAATACAGAGTTTCAAGCATTGAGAAAAACTCTTCTCACTTTTTTTTTGGCATAACTCAAGAAACCGAAGTATGTTTATTTAGTTCAATGTTCCATTAACTTATGAACGCTTATACGTTTTCTCCACTTAAATGTACTATGGCCCACTCGGGTTTCTTTTTAGTGTGTAAAATACTAAGTTTTATGCATTAAAAAAACTCTTCTCACAAAAAATGCCGTACTGGGAATTTCAGATTTTAAAAAATAACTAAAGTTAAAAAGCAATGGAATACTTTCAAACAAGCCAAACTGTTGAACTTGCATTATACCGGGTGAGCCCAAATAAAATGCACAGTAAACAGAGTTTCAAGCATGAAAACTTTTCACAAAAATACTGAACTGGGAATTTTGGCTTTTAAAAAACAAGTCAAAATAAAATGTAATGGAATACTTTTGAACATGCAAAACAGGTGAAACAACAAATAAAGCAACTACGTGTTCAAAATAATTTCTAAAAAAAAATGCCGAAATTGTATTTACATTTTTTTAAATAAGCAAAGCAAAAATCCAGGTCTCCCAAACTTGAAAAAAAAAATCTCATGTCAATTTTTTTTTGGGTCTCTCTGTGTTTAACAGAAAAAAGGTTTAACCGTATTTCCAACTCCTCCATGAAAAATGGCCAGTTATTCTATTACTGTAAATGATTAAAACAAAACAAAATTGTCCCACACACAAAAAAAAAACCAGCGCAAGGCACAACTTTTCATTGTCCCATTTCGCTCAAGCAAAAAAAGAAAAAGAAAAAAAAAATCCCCCACCACAACATTTCAATCCCTGCCATCTTAAAATATATTTGGCTCCAATCAGCTTGGTTACCGTTTCGTCATTTCTTCACTCCCCATGCCAAACCTTGATTTCAACATTAAAAACAAAATAAAATAAAACCACAGCGAAAATAAATAAAGAGAGGACGTTGGAAAAAATACGAAAAGGAAAAATAACACACACACATAGAAGAGAGAAAATCCCGTTTCACCTCAGTTGCCAATGCTCCACTTCCCCCACAATCCCGACAGCACAAAAAAATATATATATACAATATATAAATATATATATATATATACGGTATATATTCTATTTATTCCAAAAAATAAAGAGACAGATACAAAAAAAAACCGACATCATTGCCAGAAGCTTGGCACGTAATAAGGAGAAGCAAGAACCACGTATACCACACAAGACACAAAAAATAAGCAACAAAGAAGAAAGAAGACGAAGAAGAAATGAAGAACAAGGAAGTGGGGAGGAAGGGGGACAGAAGGAAAAACGCGGAAACGCGTGACGACCTCGGACAGAAAATCGAGTTGACGAACGCGACGGCACGGATGTGTCGACGACGACGACGACGACGACGGTCACACGCGTGTCACGCCGCCACGTAAAAAAAAAATATTTATAAATAAATAACCGAATAAAAATAGAAAGAAGAAAACGAAAGAATACGAGTGGATGGTGGAAATAGGATTTGAAAAAAAAAAGAGAAAGACTCGTCAGAAAGAAAAAAAAAAGTGAAACCCACTCTTTCCACCTCTCTTTTCGACGCCACGCCCCAATCGTCAATATATTTCCTACCCACTTACATAAACGTCCGGAATTCCGATTCACTGTACATAGTCGTCATTCAGCAATTTTACGACTACATTCATTTATTATTGATTGATTGGATCAATTTTTTCTCCCCTTTCTCCCATGGAAAAAAAGATTAAAATTATGAGATAAAAAAGAGGACTGCAGTCACAATGAAGTCGAAATTATGGTACAGTGAGACCCCCACATGCGGAAACCTCAACCTGCGGACAATTCAACATAGGGACACTTATTTTCTCTTTAAAAAAATTGAGAAAAAAGGCCCGACATGAGGACACTGACTCAACATAGGGACATTTTGTTATAAAATTGCGAATACATTTCAGGAAAAATTACAAGAGACAGATATTTCCAATCCTAAAATTTATGTAAGAAAAGTTCTGAAGCATTTCTCTCACCAATTTAACATCCATTTAGCTAATTTAAAAAAAATTACCTCCAGCATAAAAGGGACATCCTTCTCCCTTTTTCACTTGAATGTTATTTTTACAGAGAATGCCAACATTTCTATGTACTGTAAAGAGGTATCAGTATTCAATTCCCCAAATGTCCATATTGTGTTGAAATACAGTACTCGTATACGGTAGCTAGCGATGAGTCGGAAGATGAGAGAAAACATAGAAAGGAAAATGGAAATGGGGCTCAGACTCACGTTAATTGGTAGGTCCTGATGACCCTGGAGTAGATGGCGAGGGTGTCTTTCATTTTCCGCATGTCGTCTTTGGCGGCCTGGACGGCCCGCAAGAATTTCATTCGCTCCGAGTACCGCCCCACTCGTTCGGCTAACCGCATCGCGGCGCCATGCGCATGTTGAGCAGCTCGCACCGCCCCCGCCAGGGCGTCCACAGAGGTCACCACGGCCGCCGGCTGCGATGAGAAGTCGCTCATCTGCGCGGAATTCCAAGCATGCAATCAAGCCCTCGTTTATTTGACTCTTTCTCGTAGAAAGGAAAGGGGGGAAATGGGAACGAATATTTCTCATTCTCTTCTTGGCACGACGGAAGAGGGCTTGACCTTGGAAAGCCCGGGAGCAATATATTCTACCCAGAACTTTCTTGGGAGTTCACCGGGATTCACGCAATTTTCTAGACTGGAGTTTAATGCAAAAAAGAGTTCTAGTGCCATCCGCTGATGATACGAATTAAACATTTAAAATACCAAACATGACGAAATGGTGAAAAAAAATTGTGTAATGAAGTCGAGAAATTCTGCCATGAGACAAGGTGTCACAGCTAATGTTGGTGAAACTGTATTCAAGACCTTCTGGCGAAAAACGAAAAATGCCTCAATTGATCACATATACATATGGTTCATCAATAATATGGACTTCTTCACATTGTCAAATCAGTACTTTATTGTTTTTCAGTATTATTATCACCAAATGACACTCGGATTTTTTTAAATCTGTAATTTTTTAGGGGATGTTGGGGCATGAATTCTGCAGGTCTTTTCATTTGTCAAATTTGAAAAATGACATATGACAAGGAAGAAGAAGGAAAAAGAAGTTGGAGAAGTGCTCAATACAGTACAGGTGGTACCTAGCAATTTGACCCTAATCCGTCGCCGGACTAGGGTCAAATTGCGAATCAGTCGAATTGCAAAACACTCTGTGAAATTTAAAATTATAAGTTAAAAGTGCGAAAAAAGGGTCCAAAGCAGGTCGAATTGCGGGGCAAGCGTTGAATTACGAACCAACCTCCCTGCAAATTCGACGGTCGAATTGCGAGGTACCACCTGTATACCAACAACCCTATTTCCGGGGAAAAATAAGCGTGAACAAGTACTTCTCGAAGAAAAGACTAGAATTGGAATGAATCACTGTGTTCCTACATTTTTTTATCCACACATTGAAATTGGCGCATTTCGGAGAACACATCAAAATAATCAATTTAAATATCAGGGAACGTGGTGCACTCTATTTCTCATCAAGCAGGTTTTGTAAAAATCATATTTTTCTTGCTGAGAAATTTATCAACACCATATCAATGTTTAAAAAAAAGCAATAATTTGTCCATCCAAAAATGTTTCTCATTAGGAAATGTCCACGGTCAAAACCGCATCTCAAAAGCTGAAACAATTTCCTAGACCAGAACCGCTTGAAAGAAACAATATAAGCACAAAACAAATAAAAGCTGCACAGAATGAAGACATTCGCCGGTTGACTGCACATCGTCAGTTCAACTCAATTTGTGCTCTTCCCAGTACTACAGTGAATAGTGCCGCGAAAGTACGACCAAGCTCTATATATATATACTGATACAACAACAACCAAACAAAACAAAAAACCCCTGACCCCGAATATATCCCACAAAACAAAAAATCGCCGTGACGTGCAAAATGACATTACGCGAGGCTGGGTCATCCAGGGCTTTACAAACAATCTGTGCTGGGTGCATGGAGGGCATATAAGCAGTGACCTGGAAAGCTGCGAGTGCCTGGGTTTCAATGCGAACCAGGGCGACGCGAAAGCTGTTGTCGTTTCGGTCGCGTCTTCGAGTGGCCTTGTTGAGTGTTGTCTGGAGAATGGCGGAGTTTCTGCAGTCTTCTTCGCAACAGAAAACCGGCCCGTCCGAGTCACTGACCCCATCAGCCATATATACGGTTCCTCCCGCAAGATCCCGATGCGTGGGCTGAACAACTTTCATGAGTTTTCTCCATCAATAAACATGAACTTGAAGAAATCACACGTGCCAGGAACAGATTCCATGTCTACTACCTGGAAACGAGAATAAAATTCTCACGCGCGACTCGAGTACATAAAGAGGAAAAAAAAGGTTAACCCCTGCGCCAGCAGCAGAGAGACCCTTTTGAATATTCGTTTCCGCTTACTGTACAGTCGAACCTCTCAAAGTCAGAGAGGTTTCCAGTGGAGAATCTAAGCATTTTTGTTGTGAGAAAGGCAGAAGAATTGCACGTAATTGTAAATGGCGATATTCTGGGCCTTAAAATCGCTTCTCAAATGAGTTGACAGGATGCAGAACCTGGAGGCAGGGGTTAACTCATTTGAATTAGTCTTTAAAAATTTTTTCAAAACACCATGAGCTTACTTTTTATTGCTCTTATTTTTCCCCAGTCGAGAAAGTGGCCTTAGAGAATGCGAGTTATGGAGATTTGAGATGAAAAGTCTTCGATTCAGGGAGGTTTTTACTGCATAGTTTCTAAGGGAAGTCATATGGGGACTTGTAAAAAATTCCACTTAATGAGGTAAATGTTATTGAGGTTCAACTGTGCATTAAAATTGCCTCCCTTTCAGAGTCGGAATTAATTTTCCGTAAAATCCTATTTAAAACGCCAAGTTTGCAATGAAAACGAGTGCGCATCTTCAACAAATTAAAAGCAGATCTTCATGAATGCATTTTGCGTGGGAATACCCAGAAAGGTTTCAACAATCTTCTGTTTATTCGTGATAATCGTATCTTCTCTCTCGCCGTGAATAAATTACTGGAAATGTCACTTTTTAATTATCACAGGGAATGAACTTCTGCGGCAAAGCAATTATGCAGTTAATTAAGACTGACGTGTTTTTCTCGGGTGAACATGTTTTGAGAGATAAATCCAACAAATAACTTGGCATTGAATAAATGTTTTTGATATATTTCGAAGGGACTCTGAGAAAATATATTGTAATTGATAAGCAGTGCTAAAAATAATGGAAAAAAGTCGCTTGGCTGACTTTTCTTGAGTCAATTGAAGATGGGCGAGATGCGGAGAATATTCTTACCCCTTACAGTATTTATAACTTTCAACCCTGACCCCGCAATAAAAGCAAAGTTACAGTGAATGCGTCGTGGTTTTCTTCTCATGAATGTCAAGTGTGACTGCGATAAATCTTGTCAAATCTGGGACAACACCAAAAAAAAGAAACATCCGGATTCCGCGAGCAGGAAATGCCACTCGTTTCCAGCAGGTAGTTTCCGGAAATTGGGTGCGTGCTGCTGCGGCGAACGTTATTTTCCTCCCTAGTATTTCAGATCGGTACTAAGATCTCAGAAAGGCATCATAAATTGATTGTTAGAACCAAGTTGTAAGCCACTCTGGGAAAGGCCGGAAAAATATTATTCCGGTTTTCATGGCTTTTGCGAAACGCTGGAAAGATCACGCAGGGTCATCAAGTGGCTCGTTCGCTGGGAAATTCCGTTGTTTCCCTATGTGGTAGCTCAGAAATTTATTTGACACGTGTGTCCCAGTTTCTTTCTGCCATAATAAAGAATATCAATATTTGTGGGCGTAATCTTAGCACGGCTCTTATCTTCAACGCAATATAAAAAAGGAGCCTGAAATCCGTTCCCCAGCAAAAATTTTCGACGTTTTCCCAGCAGAAAACAGATCGGGTTATACGGTCACCAAATTCAAGAGTATCATCCGAAAAATTATTTTACAAAAAAATTCCTTGTTATCGTACGTTTTGATCCCAAGGAAGAAAAACATGGGCAACGAGTCCCTCGCGTTTTAACCCTTGCATCCACGCGTAACTTTGCTATTTTCAATGCTCTTTATAGTGCGTCTTCCAAAGAAAAAATAGTGACTTTAACCTTCTCCGGTGACATTGCTGAACAAACAAAGGTTTGGAAGTTTTTTTAAAGGCCCAGGCACCATTTTCGGTCCAAGGAGAAAGGGCGCCACGTGCGACATTTGTGGAATGCTTCAATTCTTGTTGAAGGTCGCAAAAATTTGCATTGAAAACGGTATCGAACATGTTGAGAAAAGAGGAAGAAATGGTCGTTAAAAAGACAGTGTTCGAATGAATGGTGATGCAGCAATTAATCTCCACAAATGCGCACAGAAATCTTGTACTTTATTACACAGCAGTTTAAAATGTCAGATGGTCGAAGCTGGAGGTCTCGTTTGAATGAAACTCATCACGACATATTTTTGCAAAACTGACTCTAAAAATGTATCAATGTTCAAGTTTGTGAGCTTATTTAAAGGTAAAGTTTTGGACCTATCTTTTAGACCAGTGTTTCCCAACCGCCTGTGGTCCGCGGACCGGCGCTGGTCCGCAGAAGTTTTTTGCTGGTCTGTGAGACATTTTCTTAATCACGATAAATTTATCAAAACTATCATTGAAGGATGTTACAGTACGGTATCTTTATCTGAAATTTTTGCAGGACAATTGCAGTAAAATCATCTCATGAAAAATAAAAGTTGACTTTTCTCCAAATAACACTTTCAGAAAAATTTGCAGGTGCGATGGAATAAATTATTTTAATTGTTCATTCAGGGTATGTTTTTCTCAAGCCCACCTCGTCTTCAATTTTTTGAAGACATTTCACTATACCTGCTTCATTGGTTCTCAACTTAATTTTTTTATGCAAAAAGCAGAAACTTATTCAATGATTTCAGGCACAAAAAAATTTTGAATGTCCAAAAATTTTAGAGAACTTTGCCGGTCTGCAGGACTTTTTTTCTCAATTTGCCAGTCAGCAAAAAATGTGGAATTTCGCCGGTCCGCGGGCCCACAAAGGTTGGAGAACACTGTTTTAGACAATAAGGCATTAATTTTTTCGCCGAATGAGGAAACCCGCCGTCGTATCAAGCTGATAACGCGATGAATAACGATGAAATTCGGAGTGTTGAAGCGGAAGAAATCTCTGTTTCCTCTTTCTTTTGCTTTGTTCTTTTTTCAGTTCCGGCTGGCTTTTTTCCCCATCATCCCGACCTTGGCGATGCGTCTTTTAATCGATTCCGCCTTGTTTAACAAGGCCGCTTCCAGAGGGGACATGGTTTCGGGCTCCTGTCGCGGAATAAACTCGTGCAAGACCTCGCCTTCATTTCCGGTAGCGTTGTCGCTGTTGCCGACACCCGAGGGGTCAACTTGGATGTAGTAGCGTCTTCTGGGGCCCTCAGGGCCGGGTTTTTGGTGGGACTGGTGCGACTGCTGCTGCCGATCGATTCCAGGGTCTTCCGAGGACTCGTCCAAAAACGCGTTGCGGTCCTTGTGTTTGTTTCTGGGCACCAGGCGCTCGATCACTATGCGGTGAGTCACTGGGTTGGCGGCGATGGTTGTTGCATATTCTGGGCCTTGGCGTACCCTGGCTTTCGGGGGGTCTTCCATGGATGACAATGTCCATGGTGTCGAGGTTGTTGTGGGACTTGTTTGCGTTTCTTTTGGATGGGGAGAGGAGGGAATTCGGTTAGCGTGTCACGATTCTGAACCTGCTACGCCATTACGAGATGAAAAATTATTTTGAAAGAATTCACTTCGGATAAGATCGATCGCATTTATTTCTAACATTCTTCTTGCTCTAGCTGGAACCCAATACATCTGAATTGCTATCTAAAATTCTAGACTATATCTAGGTATTTCAGGAAAGTCGCACCAGGGAGTGATTTTGGTGCAATTTCCAAATGCATATTGCCAATAAGAGTCTGCGGAAAAGGACTGAAAGAAAATTCCCAATTAACCCGGGGATGACCGTGGGTTCATTTCTACCCCACAACAGAGCCAGAGTTTATTCGTATTTTTTATTTCATCGGCAATAGCATTTTGGTTTGACCAAAACACAGCCTGGGCTCAGTATCATAAATCCAAAAATTCCTAGGCGGACTGATTTTTATATATTTTGAAATCCTCCAATGATGAGTATATTCAGGGAAGCAAAAAATTACACCCAGTGAGGATGCTTTTTTGGCGAACATTTCTGCACAAAGAGAAAAAATTTGACTGTTCCTCAACTTGCGCTATGTTGATGCCTTGGTTTTTTTTTTCCCTCTTGGTCTCCACATTTAGAAACATATATCTGTTCTTCTGCAGGATTAATCGCTCTGCATGAAGTTGAAAGAGGCTCTGCAGATATTCCAAAGGATTATGAAAGCAAGCTTAGTTGAATGGAAAAATAAAATACAAGATTAGAATCAAAACTGATTGTTGATTATCAAAGGAACTATGATGACGCCAAGAAGAACTGCTCAAAGCATATATGGAGAACCTTATCCATAACTCTAATAAAGGTAATGGCAAGAAGTGAATTAGACGTAAAAGGCTCACGTCCGAATATCTTCATTCAACCCTCCGAAGTTGACAGGAGATTTATCAAGTGATAAAAGAGTTATTGGGTGATACTCTGTCAGATGTTTTTTTTTTCATTTCATCATACGGGGAGAAATTGTAAAATCGTATGAGTAGAAAAAAGCTTGCCTGAGATGTATTTAGTGTGAAAGGGGTGACACTCCGTTTCATGTCTATTCATTTCATCATACCTTCGGTATTTGAAAAATCAAAAGGGTAGAAGAAAGCTTGAAAGAGGAAAAATAATCTAGAAAAAGCTCTTTCACAAGATCTCTCTTCATCTGAAGTTCTCTAATTTCTAGAATTACTGCTGAAAAATTGAATAGTGTCACTTATTTACGCGGAACTAGGTATATATCCTCGCATCTGCTTTTTCTTCTCTAGAAAAGGCCTGTGAGGACTTCATCCATTTGAAAATAAAATTGTTTCTGCTTCCGTTTCATCTTTCAAAATGTCTGTAGATTCCTGAAGTTGTAAGCGTTCAGATTCGCTTAGCTCCAAGCAATAAACCTGATGAAACGCAAAAGAAAAATGAGCGTATTCTTTATGCCAACGTATTACAATAGAAAAACTAATTCCCTAATT